TGCATCTGATAGGTTGGCTATCTCTTTGTCACTTAGTTGTATTTTTTTCTGGAGCTTTGATCTGTTCTTTCATTTGGGCCATTATTTCTTTTTGTCTTTTTTTTTTTTTTTTTGTCTCGGCGCCTTTGTTAAGTAGTGATGGGCAGAGCCTTAGATGTTCACCAGGGCAGGGCAACCCAGTCGCTGGGTTGTGACACTAATGTGGGGGTTGGGTCAGAGAAGGGACAGTGCCTCTTGCTCTGCCAGTTTTCAGTCACTTTCTCCGCTTCCCACAAGCAAACTGGGCCTTTCTGGTTCTGGTTCCCAGGCGGGTGGGCTTATGTACATTCTAGGACCCTGTGGGTCTCTCCAATGAACTCTCCTGTGAGGCTGGGAGTTTCCCCCGCTGGCTCAACCCTTACAGGTGTTTTCAGTCAGAGGTTTGAGGCTTTATTTCCCTGCAGGAGCCCTGGGTTGTGGGTCTGTCTTGCTCTCCAGTTGTTCGTCCTGGTTTATCCATAGGAGGATGTGGGACCACCCAGTCCACACAGCTTCTGCCTCGTCCTCTCTGCCCTGCTGCCTGTCTCCGCCCCTGCCACTGATCTGGGTTTCTTCTTTAACTCCTTGGTTGTTGGACTTAATACAGTTCGATTTTCTGTCAATTCTGGTTGTTCTTGTTTTTAAATTTGTTGTCCTTCTTTTGGTTGTGCAAGGAGGCACAGTGTGTCTACCTACGCCTCCATCTTGGCCAGAAGTCTGAATCTCAACTTCTTTTATCACATTTATTTAAACGATTACATATTTTTATCACTTCTCTGTCACTGCGGAAAATTTACATCAGTCTTCCCTCTCATGTTAAATCATGCCTGCTTTTCTGGAAAAAAATGTCTTTTTTGATGCGCTACTATATCTGGCTTGATAATGTTTCATTTGAAATTTTTTCCACTTTTGTTCATGAATAAATTGACCTGTATAATTCCTTTTTCACCCATGCCTCCTCTGGTTTTGTCAACAAGTTTATACTAGCTTATTGAGCAAATAGGGTGGTGTTTCATATTTTTCTATTCACTGGAAGAGTTTGTAACAGATTTTATTTCATAAAAAATCTGGATAGTACATTTTCCTTATGAGACAATTTCAAATTTCTGATTCAGTTTCTTTAAAGCCTATCCAAATATTGCTTTTCTAGCTCTTGAGCCAGTCTTGGTAAGTTATATTTCTAGAACATTTTAATTTTGTTTAATTTTTCACATATGCTCTGATGGTGTTATTTTTTTCACCTCTGTTGTCTATATTTATGTCCTTCTTTTGGTCCTAATATTATTAATGCAATTAATAGACTGAATAAGCAATAGTTTTCACATAAAATATAACTGCTTGTCCTCCTTTTATTCTTTAAATGTTTTTCAGAGTGGGATCCCCCCACCCACAACTCTGTATAAAAACCCTGAGAAGCCCACAAATGTTAAGTTGCAAACGCAGTCTGATAATAGGCACAGAGAGGTCTAGTCTTAATCAAAATTCTGAAGTAGACTTTCCAGAGGAAAATTTTCCTGTTCCCTCCTGGAGTCTATTCTTTCTTGGTTGGAAACTTGCATTCAGATAGGGGTCCTGCTTTATCTTGTCTCTTTCTGCCTCCCCCAGCTGGCCAACTGGGCTTTACTCTTTAGGGGCTGGTATGCAGGGAAGGACAATGGAGTAGGTGCAGAAGTGACTCACTTGAGCTAGTCCAACATGAAACTGGCTCCCACCTCTCAGGGCCTGACGGATGAATCAGCCTGTCTCTTGGAAGGTGTCCTGATTTCTGGATGTTTCAGATGTTTTCTCACTCCTTCATCCTCCCTCACATGTTCTCACTCTAGTTCTGAATTCACTCTAACACAAATTTGTCCATATTATTGGTGGGATGAAGAGACAGGCTTTAGGACTTCTTTGAATCTCTCTCTTGTACCTCGTGCTTCTCTCTCTCTAAATGAGTTAATGCATGTAAAACATTTAGAACCCTGCCTGAGCATACATATGCCATGTAAGTGAAAACTCTTCTCACCCTCTAGGAAGTGAACTGCACGGGGTCTGTGGCGTCCGGTGCTATGTTTTCAGTACAGAGCATAGTTTCCGGCACAATGAAATGAATGGCCCTGTTTATCTTTCATGTCTTTCTTTTTTCCCCCCTTGTTATTTCTCTTCTAAAGGAGAAATTTTAGATCATTAACATTCTTTTTTGCCCTAAAGTTAAGTAAGCATTTATGTCTATAAATTTCTCTGAATGCTGTAAATTTCTCCAATGCAGGTTTTGCTGTCCCTGCAATTTCAATAGAGACATTTTCTTCTTTATTTACTTCTATGAATATTTTAGTTTCAATTATTATTATTTACAAAGATCTTACTATGAGTGCATTTTTAAAGTTCCTAATCCAGCATAGTTTTATCTTTTGTAATAGATAACCTAACTGTGTTATGGTCAGATAACATACTGATAATACCACACTTTTTTCAATGTGAGTTACGTTATGATATACTAGCTATATGATTTTCTTTTACCTTTCCCATGTGAGTGAGAGTATGCATTCCCTGCTTGTTGAAGGTAGAGGTTGATACACGTTTGATTTGTCCCCAGCCAGTGCCTGGGACTGTCCACTGGTCAAGAAGGGTGAGAAGATTACTGTTTCACATGGAGAAGTGGAGAAAATGAAACTCGGTCAGAGAAGGCTGGAAGAAGAACTGGATTTTGTCCTGTCGCAGCAGAAGGAATTAGAAGATCTCTTGACTCCTTTTGAGGAGCCTGTGAAAAACCAGAGTGGGTCTGTTTATCCCATGTAGACAAGGAGTGTGAGAGGACTTACAAAGTAGCAGAAAACACAGATGCTCTGCTGAAACCAATAGCCCAGGACCTCAATGACATTATCGAGCACCTGGGTATATTTGAAAGACTTGCTGACACAGCGGACCTGCTGAAGCTGACTTGCAGAATTCGGAAGGCTCATATGGACTCTCTACAGCAGGTGGCCAGAATTCAGGCATGATGCACAGGAAAGTGGAAGGGGTAGCACGGGTTTTCCAGGATCGTCCTCACAAGGAGCAAGAATGCAATGTCAGGATTGCTTTTGATTGAATGATCACACCTTCAGCATGCTGGTTTGGGCTATCTATCATCTACAAATTTTGATGAAATGAAACAGAATAGTAGTTAACAGTTGGTATATAAACTTTGCTTGCAATAAAGTGTGTGTGTGTATTTCCCTTTCATTTAAATATTGTGCTGCTGAGATTATTCTGTGCTACTGTAGTCTGATAAATACTGTAGTTTTAGTATTAGCACATCAAAGCTCTATTAGCCCTTTTTTTTGTGGGCAGCAGCCTAATACATGTTGACTCTGTTTTGTAATTTGTATGTTACTCTCCTTGATTCTGAATCCTGCCACCAGTGATCATCATCATTTTCACTCCAACTGGATCTGGAAAGTGTTGGCCAAAATGTAAATGCCAACTAGCCTGGGTTGTGTGCCTGTTACATGGTAGTAATAGATACTGTGTAGTCTCTCTCCTCGGGGAATTCACTGTCTCACTTGAGATATAAAGACAGTGCCTGTCTTTATAAAAGCATTATAAACAGTACAATGAGGTGTGCTATGAATCACACAAAGTGTGCTATAGAAATTCAGAGATGGGAAGGAGAGTTAGGATGGTTTGGAACTTGAATTACATCATTATTGAAAGGGCAAAGTTCAGGCAGTTCATCCATTTTTCACATATAGTTTATCCTGGTGTTTTACTTGGTTTAGTATATAACTTTATAGTTGTTTTATTGTATTTGTTATTTTTTCCAGAAAAAGCCAGGTTCTTGGCTTGAGAACAATCTGACCTGTTGTGTTTCATCTTTCACCTAAATCAGAAATAAAAATGATGTTCAAAAAATAAAGAATGGAAAGAAAGACAGACAGACAAACCAGCTCTGGAGTCTGACTTTGTTTCAGTAGTAAGTCCATCCTTTTTAGCTCTTCAGTCAATTACCTCCTGAGCCCCTGGACCCTCATCTGTATTTCCTAATTTGAGAACTTCGAAGAGGACTAAATACTTATGCATATTAAGTTTATAGAATAAACCAGATGCTCACTTCAAAATATATTTGAATCCGAAGGGCTGCATTGGATGTCATGCTATGTGCATAAAAGGGAGAAAACCTAGGGCTTCCTTTCAATCAGATTATAATTTAACCTTCTAGTCACTGGGAATAGCAATGTTTATGAGATTTCCACCTGTTGGAACTTTGAACCTAAGGCGAATCAGCCGACATTAACAATCCATTCCTGTTTTCACAACACACATTCAATAACTGATCTCATCTGAATTAGGCGTAGAGTTTGAGGCTGTAACCATCATATACAACTTTTTATTGCTTTTATAAATCATTTTAATTGGGTAGAAAAACACCCATTTTAATATTTTGTATAAGTACTTTACTTATTTCTACAAGAAAACATAAAAGAACAAGTCATCAAAAATATATATCCAATGATCCATTTCATTTTTTTCAGTTTTCAAGACAAAAAAAATTAACAGGGACTGCTTTAATGGGCAAAAAAAGAAAATGCATTAATGCAACTTGCTACAGAAAGATAGCTTTCCCATTTTGCAAAATGGTTCAAAGACGATTCCAAATCCACCGTTGAAATAGTATATGGAGGGTCCCTCAGCCACCTAACCTTTCCTAGCCTTTCTAACCACTGCTAACAGCCACCTCTAGGAATTTGATCACCCACTGCATGTAAGCAGCGAGGGAATGCCTTGGCAGAGACCAGCCTGAAGCTACGTGGTAGGAATCTACCCCTTTTTTTCAAATTTAGCGGGAACTGAACTTCCCGGAAACGCCTCCAAGCCACGCACTGTCTGCACCCGACAGCAACCACAAGCTTCATTCCCACGCTCCCCGGGGCCCCGAGAAGGTAAACGCTTTGAGGGCGTGACTGCGCTTGCGCCCCCCGTTCTGCGCGTGCGCCCCACTTCCGCGCATGCTCGGAGGCGGAGGCCGGCCGGGTCTGGGGAGCTCACCGGTGGCCGGCCTGCCCCGCCCCTGTCCTCCGCGCCGAGCTTCCCTTTCGCACTCCGTTCCTCTTCCTGGAGCGCTGGCGGCGGCTGCTCGTGTCTGTCTCTGGGCTTGCAGCGCTCCTGCAGCGGTCATGGCCGCGCAGACACGCGGGGTCGCCCTGCGGCTGTGCACCTTAGGTACAGGCCTGGCGGTAGCGATGCGAGGGGGGCCGCTGAGATGCCCCCGACCGTGGCTGTTGCCCCTTGCAGGTTGCCCGAGACTAGCGCCACACGCGGGAAGGGCGCGGCTGTCTTCCGTTCGGTTCTGATTCTCTGGCTGCAAGTTTTCCGGGGCACCGGCTGCACTGATAGGCTTGAAGGATACGACCTTCCTAGCTCGTAGCCATCCCGTGCTTTGGCTTTAGGTTCTGCGTCCTGTCCTTTCCCTAGAAGGGGCCGAAGAGAGGGGTGGCCCGGGACGGAGCAGGGCAGGCTCAGGTCTCCGGGACTGCGTGGGCCTGTACTTAGCCCCTGCGCCCCTGGTTCTTTCTGGGCTGCCTTTACTCAGTTCCCAAGACATGCAAGACTCGGTTCCCTTATATGGATTACCGGTGGAGCTCAGCGTTCTTTCTATCCATAGATTTGGGATGAAAACTAATAGTATTTGGAATGGCATTTTGAGTTTATACCCAGGAAATCATTGGTGTTGGAGAAATAGTGCGATTCCTGTCTCTATTCCCCAAAGATTGAATGCTCAAAAGGGAAAATAGCATGAAAGTGAAAGCGTATTTAAAAAGAACCTCTGATTCACTAGCGTTACCTTGCCTGTAATGGTATGGTTGCATGCAGAGTAAATATTTACAAACCAAATGAACTATTTATGCTTTGCATCACTTGTGCCCTGGGATGGCTCAATGATGAAGTTTTTTTCATAGATTGTAAAAAATAAAAAACACGGTAGGTGACTGACCAATAAATAGTACAAGTCAAATGATAGATCAGCATTTATTGTATGTTTTGTCTTTTTCTTCCAGGCTTTTTGCTTGGTGTGGCTTTCTGTAAAGGATTTGTAGAAGATTTAGATGAATCGTGAGTATACATATTTTTTAAATGGTGTCTTCTTTTGGGTATTTGTGTGAATGTAATTTTAACAGTAGAGACAGTAACTTACGTAGTACTAATTTGGTTCTAGGGCTAGTTGCCAGTGCTATGTATGTGCAAAACGAGGTTGTACTCAAATGACACTGTTCTGAGATTAAAAAAAAACAAAAACGTGGCAAACTTAACTTACGTTCCATTTTATCATTTTTACCTGTATTTGTTATGTTTTTTCTTCTTTAATCTCCCTTAGCAGTGCTGGAGTTTGGGACCATACTGTGTATGTTTTTTGTTGTTTTGTTCTTTACAGTACTGCAGCGTTAAGCACAAGGCATGCTTGACTTAGTAGGTGAGGAGCCCTGCTCCAGATGGAAACCTGATCTGTGATCTTTCAGGCAATTCCAAGGCTTTTCCCCCCGCAGGCCTCCAGGGGGCAGCTGCCCTCCCCACGCCAGACTGAGCCAGCGCCCTGCCGTCTGTGGAGGGAGTTGTAGTCATAAACTTGCCCTCCCCACACCTGCCTGCCCTACTTGGATACTCATCTGCACGCCCAGCCCACTTGCCTTTATGGGTTTGGGGGCCTCACCTCTGGCACTTACTCAGCACCTCTGCAGAAACCTCCTGAGGGCTTGGTTGGCTGAGTCACTTTCCACCTCGTGCACTTGGTGCCTTCCCACTCCTGCCCCTCCCTCTGCCCATGGGGCCTTGAGAGGCAGAGGCAGAAGCCTTGGGGTCGGTGGTCCTCAGCAGTGAGAGGGACCCCTTGGTCTGTGCTGGTCCCCCTGATCCCTGCTTGGCACGGCTCCACCTGAGGAAGTGGAACTTGGGGAGCTAGTTCCCTTTTTTTGTTTTGTTTCTGCCTCTTGGTTGCCATCATTGCAGTAAATGAGTCAAGCCTTAGTTGTTACATTCAGTTTGACGAGTTTCACCCCCACACAGTGATATTGGTATAGCAGTCAGTCATTTGGGCACAGTGCCGTTTTGGGAAAGCAGAAGGCCTGAGGGTCCCGTGGGGCACTTTACCAGCCAGGCCAGTTGGGGTACATTCATCGATTGTTTACAGAAACTGATTCTGGGGGGAGCCATTGTTCACAGGGCGGTCATCGCATTAAACGACACTGTAGACCTCCTTTAGAACGGCCTCACAGCCATGACTTGGCCTGGGCAGGAGGAAGGGGTTGAGCAGGCAGAGACACCCCAACTCTCACCTTCCTCAGACAGGTGCTCTGTGGACCCCGACTCTGGCAGGGCTGGCCCCACATCACGAGGGGTGCGACCTGTCCTCTCATGTGTGAAGGCCCTGGCCCTCCGACCTCAGGCTCTGACAGGCAGGACGGTGTTCTTGGGCTGGCCCGTGTGTGCCAGCCTGGTTCAGGGCGTGCCTGCCTCTCCATCCTCCCATGCACCCAGCAGGCTGTCTGTCGCTTGTGCCCCTGCTGCTCTGGGGCGAAGGACAGTTGATTTCCGAGTTGAGCTGACAAGCCTCGTGTGCTCCCTGGTTACGTTTCCCTTTGCCAGCATAGGGGCCTTTCTGGTGAGCATCCATGTGGCACAGAAACTCTTATTAGGGGCAGAAACAGTCTCCATGCAACTATATCATCTTCACAGGGGGTCCTGTTTACATGCCGCACTGGCAAATGGCCAAGCTGTTAGCCACAGCCCCACAAGTCAGTAACAAGAGGGTGGCACTTATTTGCTGGGGCTGGAGTGAGGAGAAGGAGGTGGGAGGACACGGGGCAGATAATCCTGCGGCCTTCTGCATGGGTCCAGCCGCCCATGTGCGAAGGTCCTCCTCCGTGATTGGTGAAGGACAGTCTCATTCGTGTTGGTGGAGGCCACACCTAATTCCATTCTGCCCCATTTAAGCAGGAGGAGCCATCACTGAGCTAGGCGGGTCCAGGAAGTCTCTACGTCCGGGACCCTCTTGGGCCAGAGGCAGCTCCTCAGCATTAATCCCCAGAGGTGGAGGGGCTCTCACCGGGCTTTTCATGGAAGCTGGGAGACCCCCGCTGGGCGCCTTGCCATTCCTGCCACACTGTGGGTGCCAGAGCTGTCCCTGCTCAGCAGCATGATGGGAAATTCTGCTCATGGGGATTTCTGTCAGTAGCTGAATAGGCCCATAATCCCTGCACCTCTTTTCTGTTTGGGTGGGAGTCAGAAAGGGCCAGAAGGAAAGTGGCCGTTCGTACCAAACCATGCTGTTTGCTCATTGGGAGACCAATGAGTTGTCCTTTATCAGCCGAAATCCAAGTTCCGAAATGCCAACCAGGGGCAGCCAGAGACAAGCGGAGCTTTCCGAGGACGGCAGCCTCAGGCCTGCTGTGCCCAGGGTTACACCAGGTGGAAGTGGGGCTGAGGGGCGGGCAGGCGCCGAGGCGTTTGTTTCCAGCGAGTACCCAGCGTTACCAGCTTCTCCCTTTACTAGGTGCTTCGTGGGGAAGACAGAGAGGCCCCTGAGTAAAACTTGTGCCTAAACGTTTAGTGGAAGGATTTGTTCCATGCCCCTGTACTTATCGATTGATTATCCCCACCTGTATGATTCAGTGGTGAAGTGGAAACACACAAAGATTTATTTTCTTGTTCTTCAGGTTTAAAGACGGCCGAAAAGATGACATTTGGCTTGTGGATGTGAGTATGTCGCTGTTCTGTGCTAGTTAACCACCCCCACCATTGTAAGTGTTACTTTTCTATCCTCCTCCACCCAAACACGTGCATTTAGTACCTACGTACGCTACCCAGTTCTGTTTTCTTAGCTAGTACTGTTTGTGTTTTATATAAAAATGAGCCCCAGGGCCTCACGTTGCTGGGAAGGAACCTGATTTAGATGAGGCTCCAGTGAGGTCAGCTTGTGGGTTCTGTCTGAGGGATTGTGGTCTGAGTTTCTGCTGCATTCACTCTCAGTGTTGTCATGTCGTCCGAGAGACGGTGTCCGTAATCAGTCATCTGACACCCAACATCAGATTTCATCTTAACAGGGAACAAAGTCACATTTTCACTTTCCTTTCCTCACTGCCAAGTTTGGAACATATCAGCCCTTACGGTGTGTGGGTGTGTTTCCAGCCTCAGTCACTAAGTAGAGTGGCAGCAGGTGAGCCAGAGTAACGGCCGCACAGAGCTGACACTTGGCCAGCCCAGGCCGTGGGCACGAGGCCCACGGTGAAACTCTGTCTCATGTGTGCTTGAAGATGCCCACAGTGTAGCGTTAACAAGTAGATAAGTCTGTTTCGTGGCGGTGCGGCACGCAGGCTGCCCCACCCTTCCACCTCACACCCAGTGCCGCCCGGTGGCGGTGATGGCGGAGAAGGAAGACCCGTGGTTTTAGTGCAGTCGGCCTGTCCTTCCCTCTGCCGAACCAGCCATCTTACTGGTCTCCGTGCTTCCCAGGGGTCACGCCTGAAGCAGCAAAGACACCTGCTGCGTTGGAGTGTTTGCAGGAGAACCAGACAGGTGGAAGTCGAGTATGTGGATGGGGTTTGGTGGTCTCGCTTTATGTACACCATGGACACACCGCTGGGGAACTAAGATGCTTTCACTGTAAATCGTGTATCTATTTAAAGATGTATCAGCAGTCGTTTAAAATACCCTAAAGTAGTGTCAACACTGAGGTGTGTGTGTGTGTGTTTGTCACTGTGTTAACCAATTTGAAAATTACATTTAGAGTTGTTTTTTGTCTAACACAGTTTATTATCAGATCACTTTGTCAAATAGATTCTTTAAAAATTAAGACTGGTATTCACGGTAGCACAGCGTTTTAGTGGTTGTTTTTGTTTTTGTTTCAACAAGTTTTATGCACCATGGTGTGGTCATTGTAAAAAGCTGGAACCGGTTTGGAATGAAGTTGGTGTTGAGATGAAAAGCATTGGTTCACCAGTTAAAGTTGGGAAGATGGATGCTACTTCCTACTCCAGTAAGCATTTGCTCGGTTCATTTCTCAACTGTTCTCCTAATGAAAATGTTTAAGTCATGCAAAGCAGTGTTCAAGGTAGGAGGAAGAAATACATATATATTTTTGGTCACATAAAATTAAAGGTATCTTAATTTAAGACTGTGCCTGATGAGTTAAATGAATTAACCATTGCACGTGTGATATGCCGAACACAGTAACCACAGCCTGCCAGCGATGCGTAAGCCATTGTTTCTGTTTTGAGTCCCCTGGAGATAATTAGGGCCCCGGGGCAACTGTAGGAGTTTGAGCATTGAACCTTTGGTGTTGCTGTGGGGATTAAACAGGAAAATTAGTTGTTTGAGTTGTCCGAGGTGGCACAGTTGGGGTGTAGATGGGAAGGTGAAGGGCGAGTTCAGTTAGGATGCGTGCAGGTGAGGATGCGGAGGGTATTGCCATGAGGGGGAATATTAGAGCAAAACCAGAGGATTGGCAGTGAACTTCTTAAGAACGTGCCAGAGAATAGACTTAAAGAAGGGTCGGCCAGCTGCAGCCCGTGGATAGAATCTGGCCACTGCCTGCTCCTGTAAGTGGCGCTTCATTGGAACAGAGCTTCGCTGGCCTGCGGCTGGTTTTGTGTCCCAGTGGCTGAGTGAGTAGTTGTAACAGACTGCACCCCCCACAAAGACCAAAACATCTGTGGCCCTTTACATAAAAAGGTTACCAATGCCCGTCTTAAAGATTTCAAAAAAGGTAGAATCAGGTGGGGAGAAAGATAAGTTACCATAGAAGTTTGGAAAGAGTGTGGCTTCAGAGAGTCTGAGTTCGAGCCCGGCTCGGCCTGCTGCCCTCGCTGTGCAGGACCAGAAGGTTCCTCGGCAGGCCCGGCGTCGGTACCGCGCTGCTGGGTTTCTGGTGTAGCGCCTCTCTCGCGGGTTACATCTGTAAAGCCTCCTCTAGTAGTCACTATGTTAATGAAGAAAGTGGGAGTTATTTTAGAAAGTCGGCATTGTGCTCTAGATGCAGTTTTGGAACAAGACAGACCATGTTTTCATCCCATCTCGGCCATGTCCTGTTTTTGCAGCTGCAGGAAGTGCTCAGTCTCTGGATTTTAGTTTTCTTGCCTGAAGATGGAAGAGTGCCAGTCCTCTCGACTGGGAGGATGGCATTGGTATTTCATATTCAGAGCCCTGGCCACAATGGCCAGAGCATTGTAAGGTGCTCAGGGGTAATGGCAGATTTTAAGGGCCCCTCAGGTGGGACAAAGTGTTTTGGATTTTTTGGTTGTCAGTTAAGAGCCATTACACCTTTTTGAGAAGGCTGATGACTTGCTACATTCCGGATGGAAAGAAGATAGAGAGGAGGGACAGAAGAATCAGGTTGACCGGATGCGTCTGGGCGGAGGGTGCGGGGGCCCAGACTTGGATGGCTGGCAGTGGAGTGAGGGGGACGCAGGAGGTCTCAGACACGGTCACGGGTGAAATCGCAGCCGCGATAGGTCAGCTCTGTGATGGGAGGAAGAACAGGTGGAAATACTAGTGCCAGATTCTTAGCATAGCTAGTGAACTACACCACCGCTGCTTATGTAGAGGAGAGTGCGACATTTAATTCCGTCTGATTTTCACGCTAGCAGCTGATTTGAATTTGCGGGACATGTTTTGCTTTACTGATGTCTGGGAACAGGAACTGGAGTGCAGACACGGTGTTAGAGCGGGAATACTGAGTTCCACAAGTGAGTTGTTGAAACTCGGAGGAGAAGAGACCCACGGCAGGAATTGTTGTAGACAGAGACGGAATAATACGCTTGAGTTGGCGTTTCTTGAAATAAGCTTTAAGCAAAGTTTAAGAAATTACTCCTTTCACCTGCTGTTCCCCAAAGTAAATCAACTGTGTCTTTGCTTTTATGTTGATTGCATATTCACACGTTCATGCATATAGTCCTTCATTTATTCAGTCAACAGTTAGCCAGTACTGCTCGTCAAGCCTTGCTCTGGTCTGTAGCAACCGAATAAGGACCAGCGCAAACCCCTGTAGTCTAATAGAGGGAGAAGGAGGAACCAACCAACAAGTGCAGTAAACCTTAAACATTCCATACTCTCGTGGTCTCTGGAATCATTCAGTGGAGTAATAAAGTGGGAAGGAATATGGGAATATAAAGACAGTAAGAAACACAGTTCCTGTGAATCAGTAAAAATCACAATGGCCGGACTACTCATTTGATGCTACAGTGATAGTTAATGGTGTATATCTGTCAAAAAATTTATACTATCTAATTCCTTGGTTTTTTCAGTATTTATTAAGTGGCACTATGATTGGAGAAAAATAGCAAAGACTTTTTTCTGAGTAGCTTAGAGAAGAAAGTATTTTAAATGCTGTGACTAAGAAACAATATTCTTATAGGTCTTAAGAATTCATATACAGTTTGTAGCTTTATTTTATGGTGGGACATTTATTCATTTCATATTTATGACCCACTAAGAGCTTTACATTTTGCCTCTGATAGTATAATTGTTACAGATTTTATTTTTTTGTACACTTACCATTGTGTTATACATTATGCTGAGTTAATGGGAGGAAATAACCTCCATAGCGGTTGCACTGGATGAGACAGAAATTGAGCATGCTACCTGAAGCACGCCTCCAGCTTCGGGGGGGGCACTGCTGTGTGCTGAGGACCTCCCTGTGCCCGGAGCTGTTCGCCTTCTGTCCTGTCCGCCTCGGATGCGGGCTGCTGACCCTCCACCCCCTCCTAGCCGGCACTCCAGCCTGCACAGCGAGGCTTGTGTGCAAATCTTGGGACTGCTGGAGACACAAACAGAGCGTATTGAAAAGCCGGTCTTGTGTTGAACGTGGTAGAGCAAGCATTCATTCAGCAGGCGTGTCATGAGTGCTCGGCATATTCCAGGACGTACCCCAGGCGTGGTCTAGGCATTGGTGTTAGGTTAGTGAGCAGAACAGACGGAAGTCTCTACTCGAGTGGAATTTGCATTCTAGTGGGGAGTGACAGGTGATAACCAAGGAACCTGAGTCAATTGTCTGGTATTGCTTAGTGTTTGCTGTCAGTGATGGATTTTTCATTTTATTGCAGCATCAAGGAGATGTTTTATGTGCTATGGAGAAAAAGATATTTATCTTGTTAGTACCTAAAAAAAGTGGAAGTATTCAAGAATGATTGTTTAGAGATTACAAATAGATTTTTGGCATGTAATTTTCAAAGTCTCCTGAAATACTTCAAGGCAGCGCCAGTGTAGACAGTTTAGTAAAACTTTGAACCAGAAAGGTAAAGAAATTGAATATTTCCTTTGAAGCCGGCTGCCAGCATGCTTCGTGTCTAACTTGTAAGGCACCAAAGGAGTGGCTGTTTAATGGTGTCGCCTCCATCCCCGTGGGCTGCTTCTCGGGCAATCTCAGAATCAGCATTTCTCAGGGTGCTGTCTGCATGCTGCCTGCATTCAGATTACTTGGGGTGCTCACCTAGATTCGGGTTCCAGAGGCCCATAGCAGCCCTACCACGAAAATCTCCGGTGCTGGGTGCTCAGAATCTGTGTTTGTACGTGGACTTCAGGTGATTCTGCTGTACACTTAAGTTGGAGAATCACCAAGTAAAGCAAGGTATTGTTTGGATGAATAGGTCCTCGAGGACTTTGGCTCGGGGTGGAATGGTTATTCAGTGATCAAGTGCAGGTAGCCCCTCGGTGTCTGGGTGTCTGGGGGGAGCGGCGCTGCGGTGCGTGGGAGTGTCTGCAGTTGCACGTGGTGCGGGGAAGGACTCTGCTAGACCTTGAACCAGAGAGGGGGAGCTGCCGCCATGTGTTTTGCCCTGTGTGTTTGCAGTTGTGCCCCAGAGTTCTTGATGCCTGGTTTTCATTAGTAATCTTATAAGCAGAGAACATTTAAACGTTGTGTAGTGTCCAGTGTAAGTTCACGTACTTATTTTAGCTTCTCTCTTTGTACATATCCCTTCAAAATTGAGTGCTAAAATTGTGCCTTGTTCGGAATTTAAAGTAGCTATGATGTTAACTGTAATGATGTATTGATTTTTCTTATGAATCCACTGAAATTCTGTGTATTCCTCAACTTAAGCATGACGTAGGTGAAGATCATGTTTTACCTCCCTTCCATGTGTACACTTGAAGTGGCATTGAGCCAGTAACGTTTCTGCTCTGATTCCTTGTCCACAGATTATCAGGCCCTTTGCTCAGTGACTGTACCTCAGGGTTGCTCACACTTGGCCTGTGGATATTTTGGGCCAGATGAGCTTTTCTTTGGGGGCAGAAGGAGCTTCCTGTGCGTTGTAGGACGTTCAGCAGCATCCCTGGCCTCGAACCACTGGACACCGGCAGCTCCATTGCTCCCCCAAGTGGTGACAACCCAGTGTGTCACCCGAACTTGCGGAGCAGCTCCGCAGGACAAGCCCCCCCTCCCACCCCCGGGGTGTTCCCTTTTATATCAGACACGTAGTGACGCCAAGGACTGAGAAAGTCGTGAACTTGAGCTGAAGAGGACTTCGGGTTGCGTTCAGCTCCTTCCTTCTCCTCCCCCCATTGTACAGTGGAAGCAGCAGAAGGTCCTTAGCAGTGAAATGACTGTGAGTGGTTTCGAACAGCAAAGTTGGAGGCAGAGTTGGGCCTGAATCTGAGCCCACTATGACCCACCTCTGTCTCTTCAAGGTGTTACCATTTCAAAGAGAAAACAGCGAAATAGGGGCTTCCCGGCTCACCTCAGTTTATGACTATTTTAAATGACAAAACTTAAGGGGAAGTTACTAATGTTACAAATGGGTTCTTCAATTTATGAAGGAGTCAGTCTTAGATTTCATTACAAACTGTTCTCTAATGAAAACAGAACAAAAAATAAAAATTCAGACTTGAGTTGCAGTCTCAGCCCTGCTACCTAATCAACACTTGATCTTAAAATGGTTACCAAATCTACCTAAGTATTAGTATTAGTATTATTATTTGAAAAACAACAACATTTTCTCTTCCCCCACAAAATTGTTTTAACATGTAGTTGAATGTCTCTTAAAGCCAATTAGAAGATACTCTACACGTGCTTATTCTAATGAGTGTCATCGGTACATAGAATTACCAGGAGATAATTACTCTGCGGTGAGATCAGGGTCAAGAAGAGACAGGAAATGCACTGTTGTCTGAGGGTCTCTGTGCGCCAGCTTCTCGGTGGGACTTTTTCTAGGGGCTCATGTTCGAGTCCCACCCACAGCCCGACCAGAGGTGGCTGTCTTCGGAGGGGCGGTGGTCAGAGAGGTGAAGAACTCTGCAGAGCCGCACGAATGGTAAATGGAGAAGCCGGAACCCTGACCTGGGTCCTTACACGCCTGTAATTCGTGCTTTGCTTCTGCGCTTGTTTTTGTGACGCCCGCATTTTCCTCTCTGGAAACCTAAGTGTGCAGTTGTAGGGGTCACTGCACTTGAAATTGTCAGGAATGGATGCTAATGTCCACGGAGCCTGGGGACTGCAGAGTGGGTGGCAGCACCCATCACCATCCTTGGATACCGACATCCGAGGCCACAGAAATGAAGTGATTTGGTTTGTGCATAAGTAAATTCCATGCCAACTTACATAAGGGGTTGCTAGTGGGCTGTGCCCTCTGTCCGGTCACTTACATTAGTCTTCACCTGTGGCAGTTCTAGTGAGTTCTGGTCGAAGGGAATGAGGGCTTGCGTTTACCTGCCTCTCGAGTTTGGGTCGGGAGGCATTAAGAATGAACTTGACCCGTATAATTTCCCTGAATCATTTCTGTTTTTTTCCTTTGAAGAAGGCAGTCTCCGAAACAGCAGTCTTCAGTTAGAATATACGAGGGCAGAAAATCTGAATACGAGATGGGCACTTGTATTTTAGGGCAGCAGTCGGTCTAAGGTCACGGGACAGTGTAGAGGCAGGACCTGTATCTTCAGGACCTGGGTCCCCCGCTCTGTCCCCTGCTGTCTGCGTTGCTTCTCCTGGGACCCACTTTCCGACCCCTGCACGTTTGAGAGGGACACGCGGGCTGACAAAGGAAGGTAGAGGGGTTTGGGGCGTTGTTTGCCACAAACTTGCTTTGTCGTTGTTCTTGTGTATTGGTGGGATTGATTGGAAATCAAAGCTTAACATCACTAAGGGGGCTGGTAAACCGGAACCCATGTGGAGAAGCAGTTTCCTTATACCCAGCTGTACCGAGAAAATACCGTGGAAATAGAAGAAAAGTAACCAGTGGAGAGATCATGTCAGTATATACAGTGTGCTTTAGGTGTACTAGGATAGTTGTATAAATACATTGTATATAGTCTAGACAGTGAGAATATTTAATTTTTTTCTTGTCCCAGTTGCCTTGGGTCTATCAAGTAATATAGGATTAATCTGCTGTTGCAATTTCTGTGATTCTTGAAGTCCTGGTTCTTGTTTGCTTGTTTTCGTTACTATTTCTTCTTTTCCTTAAAAAGATGCCACTGTAGCAACTATCTCGTTTTAACGTGAAGATTTCAGAATAATCTTTATGTCATTGAACTGATTTCTAGGTGATTACAGAAGCAGAAACTTCTAAAACCCATGGATGAAGTTGCTTTTAGTTCATGTATTGATGATAGAAGTTTAGTAATTTTACAGATGTGACTTATGTTTTCAGAATTAAAATGCAGTCTTTTAAGACTCAGAAACATTAAAGGAAGGGTGGGCCCCTTACCCTTTTATTTTTTTAAAGAAATATTTGGGCTGGAAATGAAGTCAAATGAGAAGTGAAACTATATGCCTGTGTTTATACATACATATTTTTTAAACAAAATTCTTTTTTAAATAAGTACTTTAGAGACAAAATTTTAAACTTTGGCACTTATTTCTTATTTTGTCATAATATTTTGTGTAGGCTATAAATTAGATTTATTAAGTAATTATTTTGTACAAGAATGTCATTTTTTTCTTTTTTGTGTGTTTATATTCTTTTTAGACTTAACACAGTATATCTGTATAAGTTTGTATAAATATATCTATATATTTTTAAGTTAAAAAGGTTCGTTTATTACCTAGTTCCTTATTTTAAAAAAATTTAGAATTATTTATTCTTTCTCTTATCAAGGCATTGCTTCAGAGTTTGGAGTTCGAGGTTATCCAACAATTAAGCTGTAAGTTGAGTGCTGTATGTTTATGTGCGTGTTTTCATTAGTTCGCTCTACTCGCTTTTTGCTGCACTAAGTCCCAGTAGCTGCCTGGAGGACTGGAGATGCGGCTCAGCAGCTCTTTCTGGGGGCCGCGCGCGCCCCGAGGAGAGGGACCGCCTCTTCCTGCTTTTCTGTGTGGGCACGAGTGTGTCCTCCACCGTGAGTGCGGCACGCGTGTGGCTGCTGCCGGCTCTGTGCGGGGGAGGTCTGCGCACGGTCAGTCCCGGCCGCCTTCCCGGGAGGAGCTCCAGTGTGTCCCCGATGGTGGGCGCCTGTCTCCTGGCACCTGCACTTTCCGTCATTGTGATAGACGTTTCTGCAGAGGTGAAAGAAACGGGATAGTGCACGTTCGAAGACATGGTGTGATAACTCTAAAGGGCTTATTACTTATAATCATCATAATACTGAATTTTCTTGGGAGTTTGATCCATATCTTTATCTGATAATGTGGGGAGGTTATTTTGAAATTTATTTTTATAATAAAGTAATTTTTTATTTCTTGGGTTTTGTGCTGACCTCCTACCTTCCCCTACTTTTGAAATGTTCACCGACCCTCCTTTACTTTCTTATGTTGTTGAGTGAACCATCCTTTCCATTCTTTATTTAATTATAGATGTTCTGTTTTCCTTTCACAGTTTTTAAAAAAAAATCTCAGTTGGACACATATTCATTGGTGGACTTTTAGAAAGTTATCTAATTTTCCAGAAGAGTGTTTTTATGCATTTTACTCTGTATTATTGGAGCATCTATCAAGTTATTATGATGTTGTAGTGCTTAAAATTTGTTTTGCCATTGCCAGATAGTTTAATTCTCTGACCTGGTACTTGCCTTTTAGAAGAGGAGAGTGAGAATTATAATGCTTTGACTGGTTCCTGACCCCGAATGTGTAGCTTGTTTATATTTAGAAGTCACAGATACAATGCAACTACCAAATACTGAGCAAATTATTTCATGTGATTTTAATAAAATATAGTCTTTTTCTTAATATTTTGAGTCACTGATCCCCTGACACCAGTCATCTGCTCTATATTATGTGGTTATAGTAGTTCCTCTAAATCTGTGAATTTACCATTCATATACTGTAAATTTATCTAACAGTAGTGATTAGTATTAAATAGTGAAACAGTTGAAATAATCCAAGCTTTTTCTTTGTTCTTTCTTTTTAAGATTAAAGGGGGACTTGGCATATAATTACAGAGGGCCACGGACTAAAGATGATATTATTGAGTTTGCTCACAGAGTGTCTGGGTAAGTTGTTACTGGGAAACGCGTTGTTATATGATACTGATATCTGAACATTAAACTTTTACAGATCATTGTTAAAGGATTTAGCCTGAACAAAACCTGTTTCTGTATTTGGAGAGAGGACACGGCGCTGTGCAGCACGTGTAAAGAGATCCTGTGAGGGGCGGGGCGCCCGTGACTTGGTTTCGCACTTGACATCCTCAGTTGAATCTCTGTGCTGCGTGGGAGACTGTGTCCCCAGTTTCTAATACCGTTTCAAAATCTGATTACGTCTGATAACTTCGTGAATCTTAATTTTTATTTTGTTGTAATTTTGCTTTTATACTACCTGGTTTACATCCATTTGTTTTTTTGTTACCTGACTTTAGAGTTTTATGCAGAAACCCCTCGACATTATTGTTCTGAATAGACCCGGGCTTTGAATCTGGGCCTGTGCTAAAGGAGAGTGATTTCAGATGGAGCTGAACACTCGCCCCGGTCGCTCAGCCATGGCCACGGGTCTCTGCCAACTGTGAGCTGGCACCGCACCTTTTGCCTCTTGGAACCTGTGTGCTTCCATACACATTTCCTATTGGTTTGAGTGCAGGGATTTTGCTCTTCAATCTACATCTCGCTGGGGTGTGTAGAAAGTTGGTATTCATAATTATTAAAGTGATTATGTGCAACTTTTTGCAGCAAACAAAAATCAAGCTAGCTTCACCTATATTGAGTTTGCAAGTACAGGCACTTCCTTATGAGCTTGACAGGATACAGTGATAGCTTGAAATGGCTTTAAGGCAGATTGAAATAGCGGAGTGGATTTTGGGGTGGCATGATGCTATCTGGCTTAGGTTGTTTGAGGGTAAGGCACAGAATTAGGAATGATCTTTGTGTATTAAAGTTTACAAAGCCTCTGTATTTTTACATTGACAGCATATTCCATTGTCTCTGTTTGCTTTGCAAATTAGTACATTTTGAGATAACTTTATATTCTATAAGGGGATTGTAGGTTATACTTTATTCCCCCATGATTTAGATTAGTCTCTCTGTTTTGGCCATTTTTAATGAGCTTCAGTTTAAGCTTAAGAAGGGCTTCTCCTGATGTAACCACGGGTGACTCCAGTGCAGTGAAATTGCAGGAGTCGGTTCTGGAGTTGCATCACTTAGCAGTTACCACCGAGCAGAGCAGGAACTGGGGTGGACTGACGCAACGTCACTGAGGAGTCGGGCGTCCTGAGAGGCGCTGCCTTTGCAAAATTGGTTTCCTTCCTTTTACAAATGGGGTGGAGTCAAAAATCCGATAACATAGGTCACGTTTAATAAAAGACTGCCTCTTTGTTTAGTTTTTAATAATTGGTAAGTGGTATGTTTTGTAATAACCTTCGATGTAGTTTATTTCTCAGTCTTGCTGGTTTGAAATATGCTTATATAATAAAGTCTTTGTACTATTTTGTTTTCCATTTCTGAGTTTCTTATGTACTGTTCTGGTTGCCATTTTTCATTCTATTTTTCCTGAAAAGAATAACATACTTATGAAAAATTTAGGTTTTAACCTCAATAAGGTATTTTAAAACTATGTAGCATTTAAATAGGCAGCATAAGGTATAAATATCCTTAATATAGTATCATAAACTCCTGGGATAGTATTTCACGGTGTGTTTGTGTGAATGATCTTTTGGGGAAAAAAAGACAATTCTCATGTGGATTGTTTTGTTTTGGCTGAGGACGCTAAATGAATGTTCTCACCTCTCAAAATATTTGCTAAGTTGGGACTCTCTAAAGGGGTGCATTTTCAACCTCATTGTTAAGCTGATGGATTACAGGTGGGTACTGTATGGGGGGTAGGAGTGGCCATGTGGTGTAGTTTTATGTATGTGGGTTGGGTGATGTACTTAGGTGCCGTTAATACAGTGTTTAAACTTGGAACCTTGAGACATAATAGGCTATCATATTAATAGGATTGATGTTGTCTGCCTTTAGTTCAAATACAAGTTCATTTTTTGTTTGTGTTTTTTTGAACAGAGCTCTGATTCGGCCGCTTCCAAGTCAGCAAATGTTTGAACATGTGCAGAGGAGACATCGTGTGTTTTTTGTTTATATAGGTGGAGAGTCACCCTTGAAGGTATCAAATGATTTTTTTTTTAATCCAAAACAACAGAGGTATTACAATCGAATGTTCTGTATGGGCAAAACTTCACCAGGACCTCAAACTTATTTCACTCTTGTTGGAAATACTTTAGTTCAATCTAAGTATTTTTAAAATACAAATACTGTCTCATATGCCCTTCATGGTGTTTGTCTTCCTGAAACAAAAGTGAACAGAGAGTGGGCAGCTGTCACCCACCTTGTTATTTCCTCTGTTGCCGATCTGGTTAAACATTTTAGTATTTGGAACCTTTGAGGCCGCACACTGCATTTTGAGTATAAATTTTTTAAAGGCAAAAACATGATTGTTTTAAATTCTTTTATGTGTGTTTTGTCTGTGTGTATGCACACCTCTCCCTGTGGTCATTAAGTCACGTTGATAAATATGAATTGAACTTTTGTTACATTTAGTAAACTGTATTTGGAGGAGTATGGGAGCTCCTAGTTATGGTCTTTTGCCATACAAACAGTTTAGTTCATCTTTCCACATGAAGGGACTTAAGGTAGCAGGTTGTATTGATAGTACCTAGTGAATGCTTTGACCTTGTCCTGATTGTTTAATGAGGAATGAATTTTGAGTTTAAAGGTACCACCTTTGTTTGTGTTTTCACAGGAGAAATACATAGATGCTGCTTCAGAATTAATTGTATACACATACTTCTTTTCTGCCTCGGAGGATGTGGTTCCTGAGGTAATATTTAAAAGTAGATTTTAATAGCTTTTATTTTTAAAGTACTTGATTTTGTCTACAAGATTTATTAACTGCGATAGGTGTGGAAACAGTAAACATATTTGCCCTGTTCTACTGATATGATTGCTTCTTGTAAATAAGCAAATATCACTTGGTTGCTAGCATTTAGAGATTATTATTACATTAGTACTTCTTTTTTTCTCTTTAAAATCATAGCAGTAGTGAGAGGTGATATTCATACCCTTAATAGATTTTTAAATAGTGGATTTACTTACGTGTCTCTGTAGAGAACCAGCCACTTCCTGTCCTCTAACCATGTGCCCTGCACTCTGCAGGTCCCGGGGGCGGCCGGTCATCAGACCCTTTGGGGCAGAGCCCCACTCTCCGGGCTGGAGGCCTGGGCTTCCCTTTAGTGTTGCGGGCGAGGTCCTCCGTTAGGTGTTTGGACTGAGAGGTGGTCCTTGGGAAAGGAGGCTGTAAGCAGTTTGTCAAGACTGCTGTAAAAAATAGAGGAGCAAGGTCATTGTAGGGATATGCAGATGCATTGGTCAGGAACTGTCCATCTGGGAAGAAAACATTTGAACTGGGACTCCGGTGACATGAAGAAGCCATGTACGGATCTGTGGCCAGAGTGAACCGGAAACAGGGAACAGTGCAGATGCCCAGGACCAAAGCACTCCTGGGTGCTGGGGGAACAGAGCAGTTGGCCGCTGAGGTTTTAATGCAGTGGGAGGAACCAGTAGGCAGGCAGAGACCCTCGGAGGCCCCCGGGTCACAGGCAGGTGTGGAATCGGCTGGAGCTGCTGCAGGACTTGGCCTCGGGCTCACTTTAAGAACAAGACTGTGCCTCGTGCAGAGTGAATTGGACTCGGGTGAGAGCAGATCCAGAGATCAGTTGGACTCTTGAAGTGATAGAGGGAGTTTGGGCTTGGAAGGGAGTAAGAGAATTGGGGGGAAGTGGAAGGGTTGTTGTGCTTTGGAGGTAGAAGTGTTTGAGCTTGCTGATCTGGAGGAAAAAGGAAAACTCGAGGGTGACTCATAGGTTTTTGGTTTGAACACCTGGGTTTCAAACCACAGACCTGAAAGATGCGGTGTTTTTATGATCTTGAGGCGATTGCAGAAGGAACAAGTTGGGGAATGAGGCGTATGATCGACAGTTTTGAATTGTTTACTCTAACTTGATTCATCATATTCAGCATCCAGGTAGAACAACCAAATACACAGTTGGGTGTAGGGTCTAGAGTTAAGGCTCTGTGAAGAAACTCCTTACACACCGATGCTGATTTGTAAGAAAGTAATAAGAGGGCCCGGGGTCAGAGGGTAGCAAAGGAAAGTGACAGGAAGTCGCCAGTCAGTGGGAGTGGCCAGTAGGCAGGAACCTCGCAGAGTGATCTGGATGAGTAGAGGCAAGTGACCATGTTTGTCCACGTGGAGGTTGGTGGTTTTAGGAGAAACATTCCAGAGTTGGGGGAGAGCGCCTCACTGGCGGTGTTTGCAAGAAGGCAGGGAGGACTTGAAGCCCCAACTACTGACTTCTTGCAGTCAGGTTTTACTGAGAAGGGGACCTGAGCAGTTTGGCCAGTAAATCAAGGAAGCTTTTCTTTGTAATCAATATAAGTTATGAAAATCTAAATCATTTTTTTCACAAAGATATGTCATACTACACATTCGATTACCTTTTGTTTATCGTATTTTAATGTTTAAGGATTTTGTTTTAAGAAGGTTACATAGTTACCTAGAGTATAGATTTAATGCTTCCTTTGACATGTATACAGAGGCTTGTCTTATAACTGCTCTAGAATGATTTTGAGCTTGGGAAGCTCCGACCACTTCCGGTTAGCTCAGATGCTCTTGGGTTTACTCAGTCGGGTTTCCGGGGCAGTTGGCAGCAGCCTGGGCCTGTGCGCTTACTTTTGATGGGGAGGGAGGGTGGGATGGGAGATCAGCCACACTTGCCGTCAGATTCTAAAGCAGATGCCTCAAAAGGTAACGAACCACTATTTTGGAATGTCTTAGGATGTCTTAACGTGATAGGAAGGCCTAGAATGGACGAGAACTAGAACTTGTAGTAGACCTTTGCCTGCTAAGCGCAGGGGGCGACCTGTATTAGAACAGGAACTTGCCGTGGCCCCCGCGTCTGCAAAGCTTTCCGCACAGCTTCCCTTGGGGTACACTGCAGGGCTGGCTGCCTCCCAGGCCCAGCACCACCTACGCGCACCCTGCTGGTCCTCAAGTGACACTCCTGTCGGATCCGGATCCGGATCCGTAACCTGGGACCCTGAGAGAGGGGGCGGGGCGGGGGGCACAGGCAGCGCTTGCTCAGGCAGACTTTGTGGTTGTGAGGTATTATTTTCATTAGTAGCCTTCTCAACCAGTTATTTTTTAGCTTTCTTTAATTATTCCTACAAATATAAATACTTGTCATCTCCTTTTTAGTTCTGAGTATGTGGCTGCCAAAGACTGCTGGAGAGAGTAATAGTCATTTCAGAATAATAGGATTTTTATTTCCATCAGGAACTCTCGGCTAAGGACAAAGCCCATGATTTTATATTCTTGGCATATTCTGAATTTTAATGTGTGGTCGCCCGAAGCTTCCTTGGCTTTACGACTAGTATCTATGAAAACATCAACAGGTGTGATAAAGAGATAGATGAATTAGGACAGTTCTGACTTGGGGATATTTGAAGATGGATAGAGAAGATTGTCAGGCAGACAGTTTACTGTCCCAGAAGATTGGAGTTTACAGGAACACAGGGAAAGAGGAGGGAGGTTCAGGGTCTGGTGGGCGCGTTACTTGGAGCGGGGGCATCCCTGTGCTTGAAGGCGGAGTCTCACCTGCCCCTGGAATAGCTATTGTCACGGCGCTGCAGCGCTTGCCCTTCAGCAGTGACGTGGCCAGATCCCTCAGTGTTGCCTGACACAGGCCCTGTCCCCTCCTCAGTCTTTGCAGGACAGCGTTTTTTATTTTCATTCTTATTTTACTAGTTACCTACTGATTCCTGTATTGGTTTGTTGACACTTTCAGTATTACCACACTCATGTAATACCCAGATTATATCTCTCTTGCTCTAATATTGATTTCCCTTCTATAATTTTACTGTTTTGAAATGATTACAGCACACATGTAAGAAGCAGCTACCTTCTGAATGAACCCCTTATTGTTAATTACCGTTGTAAGTTCCCATTTGTAAAGCACTTGACAATTCCAGCCTGATCTCACGTATGTTAGCTGACCCACCTCCTAACTCCCTGGGGAGGTGGGGTGCAGTGTGCTCAGTCCTCAGAGGAGGAAGCTGACTCCCTGGGCCAAGGGATGGCCTCCCCGCACAGCCCAGGAGTGGCCAGGGAGGACTTAAACCTGGCAGTGCTGAGTGACACCTTAGGCCCTGGCTTTGGGCCTCTTCACAGTGCTCTTATCCTTGACTTCCCAGGACAGCTCGGGCTGTGGTCAGCTCTGAGCCTATTCCACAGTCCATGCGAGGTGAGCAGGCGCGGTGGGAGGTGGGTATGTGAAGAGAGACCACGCCCGGTGCTTGGATGAACTTGGGGGATTCAGGGTTCTCTCTGTAACTGTGCATAACCATGTTGTTACTGTGAGGCTTTTTCAGCTTTCTGGTATCCTTTAATAATTTTGCAATCGTAGCTACCAGTTGAACAGTCTTCAGTGATGAGACTGCTTACATGTCTGATCTTTGCAGTACGTGACGCTGAGGGAGATGCCCGCCGTGCTGGTTTTCAAAGACGGGACTCACTTCGTTTACGACGGTGAGTTCCAGAGCTCAGCTCGGGTGGGAGTTTTTCCGTGAAAATGCCTGTTCGGGACTCCGGTGCCAGCGAACTGTCTAGTGAGTGTAACTGCTGTGTACAGCTGCCATTGGTCAGTTAAACGAGTGGCCCCTTTTTCTTACCCTGCAGCTTTAGTTTTTCCTGTCAGTGTTTTTTGTTTTGGGTCCTTTGGGGGTTTTCTTGGTCAGGTCATTTGCCTTGTTGAGAGAGGAATCTTATGCAATTTCTGTGTGTTACTTTAAAATATTCCAAGATTACTTTGTAAAAAGTACGTTTCAGACACACCAAAATGTGAAGAGATAGACACAGTAGTACCAACACCTGGTGTGTCCTTCCCTGCCGTCCTCTCTCCCTCCTCAACAGGAGTAGCTACTCTTCAGCACTTCCTCCTTGAAGCAAGTGTTCAGTCTGTTTTAAAAGTATTTTTATTGCACTTAACATAACTAATAGTAAACAGAACCCCAGAGCAGTCAGTCCCTGCAAACCTGCCCATCACCCAGGGCAGACTGTGGCTAAGCCTGTACCCGCATTTGCTTCAGCGAGCTCTGTTCTTTGTTGAAGTATCGAAAAGAAAACCTGATTGCATTTCATTATTGCATCTCTTAAAAAGCTGGACTTTTTTTGTTTAAGTAACCACATGCTATTATAGCACCTAACAAAATTAACAGTCATTCCTTGACATTATCCAGTACCTACTCCCTCGATTCTGAAATGGTACTCGGCAGGGCAGTGCCGCAAACTCGGAAGAGTCGTTCTGTGCCCTAGAGCTCTCGCATGTGCCGTGTTGGTGTAACACACACCCTGTAAGTGGAGTAGATGAAGTTAAGGTTATGATCCTGGCATTTCATGCACATTGCCAGAGTAGAACACACAGACATTCTGATAATTCTGTAATTACCAACTTTGTCTTGTTTTCCAGAGTACGAGGACGGTGACCTGTCATCTTGGATCAGCAGGGAGAGGTTTCAGAGTTACCTGACTGTGGACGGCTTCCTCTTGTATGAACTGGGAGACACGGGTACAAACATACACACAGCTCCCCGTCACCGGGCAGAATCTCTCCCCGATGGGTCACCTCAGTCTGATTCTGTAGCAAATGAATTTTAAGTTCTACGTAATAATTTCATTTCTTCTGTGGACCTGAATGCCAGTGCTCACTCGTGAGAATTTCCATTACCGTTACCGGAGCACACACCTGTGTCCGTGGGTCAGACTGAGCTAGGTAGGACTGACAGACAGGGCCGAGAGCCGCAGAGAAGAGAGCCTGGTCACAAAGAGAAACAGCCCGCCGGGCAGATACCCTCAGGAAGCTGATTTTTGGAGCAGGAGCCGAGGGGGACTCACCCCACCTTTAAAGCTTCACCCTGTGAGGGAACGTGGGTCCCAGACTGGCCTGGTTTCTGGCAGTTATGTGACCGAAAGCGACGGGCACAGCAGTGTGTATAGACGCAAAAGTGAAAGCTCTATGGAGCTCACTTTACGGTCTCCTAGTCGCAAACTGCAAAAATTTGGGGAAGCTGACCGTGTAAGTTTTAAGGAATGAATTGCAAATGAGAAATAAGTCCTGCTAATCATTGTCACATTTGTTCCCCTTCATAACATACAGTGAATAGGATGGAAGTCCAGTTTCAATTAAGAGAATGGGAAAACTAAACGCTGGGTGTTTTTTAGAACAAATATGGGCATAGAGCTTCCTCTTCCTGGTTTCCTGCCCTGGGATCTGACTAAGCCCACGAGGCAGAAGTGCCCCCGTGGGCCCTGCCCTGGCTTTGTGACTCTCGGGAGGGAGGCTGGCGCTGCTGCTGGTCCTCCCTGTGCACGTGCCGCGTCTGGCAGCGTCTCTGTCTCTGCTCCTGCTCCGAGGGAGGCGTGTGTCGGCCCAGCACTGGACTGCACGTGGACACTGTGCAGGAAGAGGCAGGGAGTGTAGGAATGCGGCCGTTTGCTTCCAGTGTAGTCACCACAGGAGACAGCGTGGCCTCCAGGTCATGGACCAGGCAGCTCTGGCTCTGCTCGGCTAAGCTGTCTCGCAGATTCACTCGGGACGAAGGTGCCATGGCGGCCAGTGTTCCCTCTGTGTGTTCACCGTGACCGCCCTGATCAGGTGTCCGGTCCGGCTGTGTCCCTGCTGTCATGGCCACGTCCCATCCGAGCACCACACGGACTCCTGAGTCTCGGTGTCTCTGACACTTCGTGTCTTTCCCAGAAGCCCCCGACCCCTGCCTGCCTGCCCCTCAGTTCCGCTCAGTCTCTCCGCAGCCTCACCGACTCTGCAGGGCCCCGAAGGCCTGTGTACCTTGTCTCAACGCCCCTCCCTGCTTCCGTTTGCATGGCAGTGCACAGCTAATTGATGTTGGTGCATCCAGCTGAGACTGGGCGTTGCTTCCTTAGGGAAATCTTTGACTGACCCTCAGACTACATTCACTGACGCTGACGCTCTGTAACACGTGTCGCGTTCCTTCAGAACTGTGAGGATGTGACCGCACACGTGTTCCTGGGTTTACCTTCCCTGCTGGCGCTGCTCTCCACAGGTGCAGAGCCGAGTCTGTGTTGCTCGCCACTGGGCCCCGGGGAACCAGCCCAGGGCTGGGGTGCGGCTTGGTGCTCGGCATTGTGAGAGTCACCTGTGAGAACTGGTTGTGTGGGCCCAGGGGAAGGTGCTCTGTGTGCTGTAGACGTTCTGAAAAAGGAAAAACAGGACAACAAAACTAAACACACTCTTGAAGCCCCTGGGGATTGAAGAAGCACAGCAGAAACCAAGCGCTGAATAGTAACTGAAATAATATTTCAAGAGAGGAAATGACTGCGAACTGACGTTTCCAGCTGAGGGGTGAAGGGGTTTTTGCTTCTGAGAAACCACTGAATCATTTTGGGCTGTGTGAAAAAACACAGATTTTGTATACACATAATGAAATATTCACTGTTGTTTATACCTTGGGGATGGGAGTTGGGAGGGAACTTACTACTTAGAGTCGACTTGCTGATTGGCTGTCCTGAGTATGACGTGTAAGATTGTTGAAATTAACTTGTGGAAGCAATGCTTACTAATTCCCAGATCACAGCTATAGCAGTAATTGACAGGTTTGTATAATGAGGGTTATTGAATTTACATGTCATTCTTAATTTCAGGAAAGCTTGTGGCTATTGCAGTTATTGATGAGAAAAACACATCAGTTGAACATACCAGGTACAGTGCCTTGAAATAGTTTTAAGCTTCCAATATCACCTAGTTCAGGCTTTGCATGGCTTCAGGTGGACCCAACGTGGCGTCTTTCCTGCGGCATTAGATACGGCAACAGATACTAGAACTGAGTAGTTGTGACACGTGACTCAAGTGCAAACGTGAAATATTCCCGTGTTTTCTTCTGCAGATTGAAGTCAGTTATTCAGGAAGTCGCCAGAGATTACAGAGATCAGTTCCACAGGTAGGTGCTGGCACTCGGGACAGTCCCTTCCTTTTTGTTGAACTGGTTTGCCATGTGGCGAACCAGGTGTACTGGGGCTTCCTCCTTTCCACGGCGGGTCCGAGCCGAAGGGAACTACAGCGTGTCGCCCTTCCACACGAACTGTCTGGACTCGAGGTTTGTTCACACGTCCCAGCAGCAAACGGGCATCACGCCTGCTCCTCGATGGGGTTGGGGGTGAGGGTGGCCGTGCCAAGGCGTGTGAGGTGGAGCGGTGTGGGCAGGCACAGGCCCGGTGGACCGGACGCTCACACGGGGACGCAGAGAGCGGCGGGACACAGAAACTCGTGATATGTTTGCCGTGATCTTAGTTAAGCGTTCTGTGTGCTGCTGACGTAAGAAATGGTCAGTACAAATGTCACGTCATTAATTACTGTTCCCTTTGTGTGGAATCTTCCAGTGGGGCATCAGGGAGGTGTGCTTGTCTCTCCTGCTACGTGGAGCGGGCACCCTCTGAGCAGTCCTGATTCAGAGACCGTGACCGTCCTCAAACGTGTTTCAGTCAGAGAGGCTCACACTGCCTTCTAAATACGTGTAAACGGGGTCTGGGAATCGGTTTAACTTTACTTACATGTATTTGTAACTCAAAAACCTGGAGGAATATACACGCTTCTACATTATTGTATGTGATTTGTATGTCAAATGTTTAGTGTTTACATGCTTACCAAGTTCAGTTCTTTTTGTGTTAAATACTGCTTTCTTTCTCTCTTTTTCCCCTATGGTTGTTGGTTAGAGATTTTCAGTTTGGACATATGGATGGGAATGAATATATAAATTCCTTGCTGATGGAGTAAGTACTCACTGATTTAATGATTTCACTATCAGTTCTATCAGTTTTCAAATTTCTGTGTCTGACAGACGGACAGAAGGACTGGTAGCTGACAGAGCAGACATTTGGTGGATGCTGATGCAGACACTCTCCCGTTAAATACTTCACTTCAGTGTTCAAATCTGTATTTACAACTTTCACATTGTTCTATACTAAAAAAGTGTCTCCAAAGTCAGTTAATAATTTACATTATTTTGAAAAGAGGATATTCAGAAACTTACAAATTTTAGTTTTGTTTCATACACACTTTACCTTAAGTTCAGTTTTAGTGAAGAAATTTAAGTAGAAAATTTTCAATATTTAAGAATTACTTGCCATCCTAGAAGAATTTAACAGACTAAAGTAACTTTATAGGGAAAATGTGAAAGTTCCATCAACTGTATTGGTGACGTGAAGTTCCGGTTTGTCACTTCATAAAGTTCATGTGCGGGACCATTTGCCTCGCCTGTGCTGAATGAGCACGTTCCGAACAGGAGCCTGCTCAGCTCAGTGGGTGCTCAGTGAACGTTCCCCGTGTGTCATGGGCTGTGTTTGGTACTGTGGATGCAAGAAGTCAGTGAGTGAGAGTCTCTGTCTTCAGGTGCTTGTGGTGCGCAGGTAAGACTGCGGGTAAGACTGCAGGGTCATTACGACAGGTCTGTGTGTGAGAGGCCTCTGGACCCAGGGCGATTCCCACCCCACCCTGCTGCCCCCTAAAGCGGACGGCCTCAGGAAGCGCTTGCCAGCGGAGACACTAATGAAGAGCAGTTCTAAAGAGTGAGAAATTAGCTGCAGGCTGGGGGCAGAGGGTTATTTCCTGCAGAGCACAACACCAAACCCAGGAGGTGGCAGCAAGTGCTTGCTTAGGAGCATGGGGACTGGCAGAGGATCCCCAGCCGTGGAGGTGGGGCAAGCTCCCCGCAGACAGGCACCCCGTCCGGGCCAGTCGGGGGCACGGTGCTGTGTCAGTCCCTCGCTGTGCTCAGTAGCACAGGTGTAGCGAACGCCTTCGTTCATTAGTGCAGTGCCTTGGGCTAAATTAGCGTCTTTCAGTTTCCAGGTAACACAGTGGGGACATAGAAAACCAAACTTACAAACTCAAAGGGTCATTCGTAATTTTCAGTTAAAAGCCTAAAATCATAAAGTAGTATCACTTGTTGTTTTCATTTACATTCAGCTTATCCCTCTTACTCCAATTCGAGAGGGTTTACCAGAGACAAAAAGTACAGGATAATATACAAGAAAGAAATCAAGACAAAGGAAAATAAAATAAAGAGTCTGTACAGTTATTAAAGGTACTTGAAAAAATGGGGCCATGAATTTTTAATGCTCAGTACAAAGGAGAAAACCATCTGCATGTCTCTGCCTATAACGTCACTCCTGTAGGGGTGTGGTCGACACTGTAGACACCTGAGTGTAATCACATAACGGGTGACACTTTGTGATAGAAGTGTATTTGGAATAGGATATTCTACACGCACACACACACACACACACACACACACAGCAGGGACTTGGGTACAGCCATTTCTTATAACAGCCTTCCAGGCAGGCCAGTATATTGATTCAGTCAAACAGTGTTTGCGAAAGCCCAAAGCAGTTTGTGTCCAGTGAACAACTGCTTTACCCAAGATGACATTCAGAATGTGAGAGTGGGGGGACATTCCTTCACATTATTTCTGTTATGTGTTGTGACATAGTCAAACTTTTGAGCAACAGTTGTGGTCAGAGAACAACAAGAATTTCTACCACCGGGCCCTTTTAGTTTGCAGTGGTTAGGTTTTTACTCATTCATATTTTGGGGTTTGACTTTTTTCCAAGAGAAGAGAGAAGGCATAGAGTTACGGTTGTATAATAATAGTTGGAAGTATTTACTGAGCACGTCATTGCAGCCCACACTGGACTCAGTAGTCAGTGTGTATTTTCTGACTCTTGTAGTAGCCCGGTAAGGTGTCAGTGCTATTGCTATCTCCACTTTATGTATGGGAGGAGATTCAAATTTCTTAGAAGAAACTCAAAGGAGTTAAATAATGTACCAAAGGTTGCCTGCCGACAAGTAAGTTAGAGATTCAGTTCTCAATTTCAGCTCTTTCTTGCTCCAAAGCTGTTAACTCAGCAACATTAATATTGGCAGATAAGTGGGATCTTACAGGTATTGATGCCTAAAATATTTTTAACTTACAGCAAATACGTATTATAGAAAGTTATTACATTGCAACATTGACCATATTTTATTGTTTCTCAAAACTAGTATACTACCAAATTTTGGGTCCATTACATTTTTTGCAAATGGTTTCTGTGCCTATAATTAAGAGGACACAGAACGAGGTGTCATCTTTCATTACCATTCGAATGGAAGTAACTGATGCATCAGGTTACCACTGCTGAGTAAGGAGCTCTGGGCAGTGGAGTCCTGGGCACCCAGCGGCTTAGGGTTCCGAGTTCTCCCTGGTTTGGGCTGGGCTGACCCGCTGGGCATAGTGAGCTGTGGCTCCAAACTGCCATTTAGGTTCTGGACTGCTCCATGTGGCTTTAGTGCCCTTGACCTTGGGGGGATAGTTTCCTGGCCATGTTGTCCTTGCACAGTCACAGCACAGGGAGGTGAGCTCGGCTCCGCAGGCACATCTGCTTGGGGTCCCTTCTGCCTTCCCCTTGAGCAACCCTCAGGGCTGTGTCCAGGCATCAGGGGTCAGATGGCAGGTTTCCCTCCCTGGGAAAAGGGTGTGGTGTGGGGACAGAGTCACTTACGGGTAGTCATCAGTGCTGTCAGTTACTCACTGTGCAGTGTCCTCCTTTTATGTAACACTTTCATATAGGCATACAATTAACTGTGAACCGTCATGTAGGTGACAGACAGCATTACACACTGTTCACGACTGTGCCAAACCTGCCTTTGAAAGGAAAAAGCGAACTATTCCAATGAAACAATGCATCGGTGGTACTGTAGTTGCCGTGGTGCTGGGGGGTGGGGATGGCACGCAGGGTGGGCAGCAGTGGGTTTGCGGTTGTGAGTGCGTGCCGGTTTGTTTTACTGTTATTTACTGCTTATTGTAGTATTTTCCCTATGCTCAACTGTGAACCTGCCCTTGCCCCACCCGCCCTGCCTTGAGGGGTCCTGGGAGTTTAGGGAATTTTGAGCGGAGCTTATTGCACACACACGTGTTACATGCAAGGCACTGCGCTGCATGCTTAAACTTGAGCTTTTTCATTTAATTCCATGGCAAGGTAGGTGGCCCCAAACCTTTTATTTGTGTGTCAGTGAATAGCATTAAGCTTAAACACCAAATTATAGGAAAGCCCCCGATGTGAACACAAGCAGTGTGAAAGTAGAGACCACGCTCCCCCACTCAGATCCTGGCCCCCAGCACCGTTCCTCTGTGGTGGGCCCCACAGCGACGGGGGTGAGAGCATGGCCACGGCCAGGAGTGATGGGACCCAGAGACCGACACTGTGCACATCTCAGTTTTTATCCCTCAGTATAATGCGAAAACTCAGCTGCCTCTCAGTGTGCGTTAGAACGTTCTTCACATAATGTCAGTTTAGCTATTTTTTAAAACTGATGCAAAATTTGAAATTTTCGTCATGCAGGCAAAAGGAGGCAAAGCTATTAATGTAGCTCTCTGTTTGTAACCACAGTTACTTATATACTGTATAAATATCAGAATGCTTGTTATCTGTGTTTAATGTGTATTTTGAGTTCTTTGTTCTTCTATTTGCAGTGAAGTGAAAGTCCCAACTGTGGTTGTACTGAACACCTCAAACCAACAGTACTTTTTACTGGACAGGCAGATCGAGAACACCGAGGACATGGTCCGGTTCTTCCACGGCGTTTTGGATGGCGCAGTGGAAGTAAGCTGCTCGCTGCATTCAGAGGATGCTGGGAGGCGGGGCAGGAGAAGGCGGTTCTTGGTTTTGGTTCTAGAAGGGAGAGTCAGCCACCACCTGGGGAGGGTGCCGGTGTCCTCTCCATACCTTGCTTTGCTCACCTTGCAGACAGGGTCACATTCTCTGACACCTGGACGGTTCTTCTGTGGCAGAGGCTGCTCATGGGTTACTTGGGAGCACGTTTGGTTGTCGCAGGAATTGGACGGTCCTGCTGGCTGCATCAGAGTCAGGTGCACGGTGCTCGGGGACGCAGAGCTGCCCGGGGGTGGCCTTTCTGGGCTCTCAGACCGTCCTGGGGCCCAGGGCACAGTCGGGTGATGGGATTCAGGTCAGTTATCCCAGGAAACCTGTGAACGAGGCCCCAGCTTTATACTGAGAGTCAGAGCCACAGTGGAGACTTCTGAATCCCGTAGACTATTTCTCAGAAATGATGAACGATAGTCTCACCTTCCCCTTTTTTTTCTGTAAGTCTCACTGCGGTGTTTTCATATTGTTGCCACTCATGTCAGGGGCTCATGAAGCATCACATCAGTAGGTTGAAGCGGGAAAGAACACACAAGTCTGTGCCTCTGTGGAATTCTGTTACTTTGGGACACTTCCCTCCACTGCACGCAGACTGTATGCAAGTTGGCTCCCCGAGTAGCAAGGGTCTCTGCTTTGGAAGTCACACAGTAGGGAATTTATATTTGTGGAAACCACGTGTGTTTCCACAAATATTTTTTGTGTGCCTGAGAGCCCTTCTTTTTGTAGGTTAGTGAAACCCAGTGCGAACTGTGCAGCAGCAAAGAGGCCTCGCTGGTTCGCATTGCTGAGACATCCACAAAATGGGGCAGGCTTCAGGGAGGGCTGGGCGCCAGGGGTCCGATGGGTTGTCACCGGGGATTTCTCTGTTGCTGCCCGTCCGTCCTTCAGCGTTTGTTTGTTTGTTTTGTTTTGTTTTTGAGCTTCATCCTCAGGGAAACGTTCCATGCACAGTAGCAAATAGCCCTGCAGCGTCCAGAGCTGAACAGTCATTCAGCTCGGAAACCGGGCAGGCCTGGACCAGGGGCGGCGGCCAGGGAGGGCGAGCTCCTCGGGGAGAGTGTGCGGTCGCACAGGGAGCAGGAGGAAGGTGGGCCAGGGAGAAACACCGCCGGCTCTTCAGGTGCTCGATGCAATCTGTCCTCTACCCTGGGCCAGCAGGTTTTAGATCATGTGACAGAAAAATGAAATAATGGTCCTAAAAATAACAATGTAATTGTCTTTTCCTGTTAAATTTAAGGCCCAAGGAGGTGATAGCATTTTGCAGAGATTGAAAAGAATGGTGTTTGATGCCAAATCTACTATCGTGGTGAGTTGTGACAGTTTGTCTGATTTTGTTGGTAACTGACACTGTATTGGGTAATACAGGTTCTTTATGTCTGAGTAAAATCTGACATTTGAAAGGATTGGATAAAATATCTTAATTTGCAAGGTAACAAGAAGTCTGTATTTACAGTAAGAAATCATGTTCATCAGGTGGAAATGTTTTCTCTGATACTCCATATCCTACGATTGGTGAGTGACTGGAATTCAGGGTCAGTTAATGTCACTCGGAGCCTTCCTGCAAGTGTCTTTCAGTCTCTACTGATCCGTCCTTTGAGGCCTTGGATCTGAACCCTTCTTGCTGAGATTGCTGAGCAGTCTTTCTCACTGTGAGAGCGGAGGCCTGCCCGACTTGGTTTGAGCCTTAAACTTTTTGTTGCCTCTGTGGCGCTACCCTGTGGGTATGTCCATTCATTCGGCCCACAAGCAGCCATCAGAATCAGAGCTAACCTGTCTGTGGGAATTGGTTCTCGTGATTCTCTCCCTGCACCCTTGGGTTTATTAGCGACCCCCTTTCCTTTCCTGTGGGCACCAGCACAGGCGGGCCCTCAGCACCTCGCCAGCTGTCTCGCTGCCTTCCGCTGGCTGCCCCCTCTCCTCTTCCCTGTCTCCGGCCCACTCTGCGCACCCCTCCACAGTGGGTCCCCCTTGGTCTTCAGGTGCTGCCTGAGGGGCGCCCTGCCTCATTCTCACTCCTGCTTAGGTCTCTGCCTCAAACTCCTGAGTTCCGTGAGCTTCTGTCCTCTGGATCCACAGCGACGCGTGCCGCTCTGCGTGCGTCTCCGTGGTTCTCAGGAGTCAGAGTCACGGCCTGTAGACTGCATCGTAGCTGGAAAACCTAACCAGGGAAATTGCTTTTCCTTTTCTGGGAGTTGAGGAGACAGTGTATAAATTGAGGGACATTACTAAGTTGATGTAGCTTCACTGCTGAGGAGATAAGTGTTAAACTGCGTGTGAAGAGTGAGTGTGTGTGCCTTCCTTGTGGTAAACGACAGCCTTCTCGGTGAGGTGAGCGGGCTCCTGCAGCCAGGACGCGACCCCCTGCAGCTGGGCGTGGGAGCCATCACGCGGAGACCTGGGTGGCTCCGGTGAGGGAGACAGTTGTCGTCAGCAAGGGCTGTAAAGCACTTGGTGCCTCTGTCTACTGCTGGTGGCTGGTTACAGGCGCGCACGTAGGCCCCACAATACAAAATCCCATCTCTTACCACACCTGTGTCGTGGCAGTTACTGAGGGCGCGTGGGCACTGCGGGTCGGGCGGTGCAGCAGGGGGACGAGGGCCGGAGCGGCTGCAGCCCCTTTGTGCCGTCCCGTGTGAAGGCCTCTGCGGGCACTGATGGTCCTCCTCTCTCCGCAGTCTATATTCAGGAGCTCTCCGGTCATGGGCTGCTTTCTCTTCGGCCTGCCTCTGGGTGTCATCAGTATCATGTGCTATGGCATCTACACGGCCGACACGGACGGAGGCTACATCGAAGAACGGTATGAGGTGTCCAAGGGCGAGCTCGAAGGCGGGGACGCGGCGGCGGAGAGCAGGGAGCAGCAGGAGCCGAGGGGCGGACACTCGCCAGGGCCCGCCGGGCAGGGGCCCAAGGACGTGCTGGAAAAGAAGACGGACTGAGACTGCCCTGGATTTCAGTTATTAAAGAGTCTATTTATTGAATTCGGACGCTTAATCATGGTCTTTACGGCGGACGGCGAGGTATTTGTATTCCGCCTCTATCAGCTGCATGGAGTACAGTAGTTCTTCGTAAACGTGGAGGTGTTTGGCGCAGGGAGGACTTGCCCGTCTGACACGGAAAGCACCCCACGGAAGTCCCCCGGCAGATGTCACTCGTCATGCACCGAGGCCAGAGCGCCCGTGTCTGTCTGAACTTGGTGACGGCGGGGAGGGTCCTGGGCGGGTGTGGAAGCCGGTCAGTCAGGGAGAAAACACGTGTTAGGTAGAGAAAGGCAAGACCTCCACCTCCTACCGTTATCCTCTTGTATTTTGGATAAAATTTATATGGACAAAATTACGTCTTTACAATCTAGTCACTTTAAGGAGAACTAATACCTTTTTCCACAGCTCAAATTAATTCTATGAAATTTAAAAAATTTGGTTTTATAGAGCATAGCCGTTTTATTTTCTTATTTTTTAAAGGAGAGGAAATGTTACTTTTTAACTTTATACTTAGTTGCATTATAAAATTTTCATATTGGCCTATGTATTGGCAAAAATAGTGTTATGTTTAATCTTTGCAACATAACCAGACCCACTTGGAGCAGGGGTCTCAGACCATGCCCTGCGCCGGGTCCCCGAAGCCACTTCAGGAGGGGAGGGGCTTTGTCACTCCTGCCCTGCTGGGGCCGGGACAGCCCACTTGATTTCCCCGCTTTCTGTCATGAGGTCTCTTCTGAAAATGTCCTTCGATAAACAGCCCGGCTGCTTTGTGGAAAGTTACATATGTCATAGTCTGTTACGTTTCTGGCACGGCAGCTTCACGGTGACCTGTCCAACATGCATCTGTGCGTGCGCACGCACACGGACACGTGGACAGTGTTGGCATGCGTCTGTGATGTGGGTTATGGGCACGGCTGTGTTCTCGGAGCATGATGCGTGACCCAGGCAGCCTGCCCGCAGAGTCGTGGTCGCTGAAGGAGGGTCAGCCTGCCTGCCCCACCCTCCCAGGTCTGTCAGCCTGTTCACCTCTGTCCAAGGAATGACAGTGGTTCGATCCCAAGTCAGGCAAAAAAGTGGTTCTTTGTAAGTAATAGTTTGATATGCCTATTGTAGATGAGCTTATTTATCTTCAAGGCCTTTGTTTTACCTAAGTTTAGGATTTTTATTAGGTGGCTTTTGTTTAGGTGACTGGTCATTGAGTAGTTGAGTTATCCAATATGAAGAGTTTTAGTAAACATTTAAAAATGTTTGTTCAGCCCTGGGTGGTGTGGCTTTAGTGGATTCAGCACTGGCCTGCAAACCAAAGGGTCGCTGGTTCAATTCCCAGTCAGGGCACATGCCTGGGTTGCTGTTCGGGTCCCCAGTAGGGGTGCACGAGAGGCAACTACACATTGATGTTTCTCTCCCTCTTTTTCTCTCCCTCTTTTTCTCCCTAAAGGTAAACAAATAAAATCTTCAAACAAAAAATAAAAATAAAAATGTTCATTCACTTTAAAAATAAGGAATTTGTGGTCCTGGCACTGAAGTTGTCTCAGGCTTTGCTCCCACGGGCAGCCGCTGGTTGTTCCTGACGCAGTGCTGGGCACAGCTGAACTGAAACCGCATCCTGGCTCCTGTGGGGTTGTTGGCGATCCTGTCCCTGGGTCCGTGTACTTAATTAGCATGGAGCCATGGCTCATTCTCAAGGTTTGGCACCCCGAACTGTTTTTAACAAGACACATCCGCAGATGCAGGGAGTTTCAGGAAATTCTAGAGTGAAATCTCTTGAATGGAAATTAGAGGTAAATGCTGTTAATTCTGCTGCAGTAGAATCCGCTCAATGGAGCAAGGAGGGGTGCTTTTGGGGGGTCCACGGGAAATGGTAGAACAGGTCACTGCTTTTGCTTCCTGTCTGTCACTGTCAGATGCCCATCAGCTGCATGTTTTGTCTTTTCTCAAGCATCAAAGGAAAGAGCTCAGGACGACATGCAAAAAGGCTAAAGCTCAGTGTATATCAGCAAACACAAGTCCAGCGGCCCTTGTCTTCTGGAATTTTCTCGTCTCTGTGGGGTTTAATGCCTCGGTCTCTTGTTACCTTCTTCACAACTGGACTGTGGCCCCATAGTCTTGTATGTTCATAGTGTGTCTGTTGGCAAAACAAAATGTGTGAGTGGTTTGTAAGTGAATGATTTGATTCCTTCTTTTTCGTATTTATATTTTGCTTTTTGCACGTCTTTAGGGTATTGTCACACTCTTCACGAAACACTTAGATTTTTGCCCACTGGTATGTTTTTCCTTCAGTGTGCTATGAGAGCTTAGTAGGAATGCTTTTTTATTTCTGGAAAAAGTACTTCAAAATAAAGGTAGATCTGTGAAGGAATCTTGCAGAAGAACATTCTCACCCTAGTTTGGAGAGGAATCTTGCCATGATTACACGGAGGGAGTACCTCCAGTCTGTGGGACCCCCTTGCCTTCTCTGGTAGCTGCAGTCAAGTTCTCCTGCTCATGTCTAACATTCAGAGTCTTCCATGCTTGCTCTTGCTGAGTCTGGAGCTCAGACAATATTCAAAGATGTTTCAGAGGGAGAAAGGACGTATTTTTAATCAATTCAACCTGTGTACCCCATTGCGGTTTGTAACCTTCTTCATTTTGTTGTGTACTTTAACATTTCGCCAGTATCACTGCCGCCTGAAACTTCTTTGAGGTGGATTAGATCTGGAGTTCTCATTGTCTTCACAAATCTGCTTCCAGGCATAGGATTTTGTAGTCACATTAGGAGCCAAATGCCTGCAGGTTGAAGGAAGAGTCTGTCTGAGTAACCGATCAGCTCTATTGTTTCTGTTCAGTGGATTTTGGGGGGATTGTTTGTTTTGATTGTGCAAATGTGATTTAAATGTTTTCATCATTGCTTCACTATGATATGGAGGTAAGACAGGGAAAAAATCACTGAACTGTTCTTATGCAGAATTGTCCAAGTAAACCAGTGCAGAATGTTAAAGACTATCAGTAAACTGGTGGGGTTAAGTTTGCCATTTTATTTTTATAAATACCTATTTTTTTCCTGAATGAGTCTGAGTCCAAGAGCGGGCAAACAATTTTCTACTTTGGACTAATGTATAAAGGTTTTCTGAAAGCTGTATTATTAGCTGAATCTCGATACCCTGCCTTAGGGCATCAGTTGTGAACCTTTGTTTTCTAAAATAAATTAATTGAAAACGTGACTGTTTATTTCTGCTGTTTATCTTTTGTTGTTTGGTGACATGAATAATTCTCTCTGCAAAGAGGACAGCTAAGACTAATCTTCCACAAAGCGTCTTTTTCTCTTTTGTTAAGTTGTGAGTTGTTTGTAATTATAGAGACAGTTTTAGAGTGTGAACAGACCTGAGAGACATGACATTCTAATCTAATCCCCTTGCACGTAAAGAACCCGAGATTCGTAGGTTTGGTACCTGTTGCATTTTTTAAAGCCTGATTATGTTAAAATATTAATTACAGCATTTAAAGTTAGAGTCATTAGCTTTGACCTCTTGATCAACTGCTAAGTAGCAATTTTGGACACGACTCAGCCACCTCTCCCTTTCACTGTGCCATTGTGGCACGAGATACTAATTTACACCTCAAAATTTTTTTTTAAATTAGCTTCAAATGGGGTGAGTCTATTATTTAAAAAACAAAACTTCACACAAATGTTAAGTATTAAGTTTATATTTCATGTGTTATACCATGGGCATGTCTCTTGACCAGAATTGCTCCGGTGCAGGAACAACGGCCACAAAGTCGACCCCACGCATCTTGTGAACATGCACAGGGGGTCGGTGAGGACGGGCCGCTTGTGGGGAGAGTGGCGGAGCCTGTGCCACTGCGAATGAATTCCACAGGAGTGTGAGAGTCCCCGGCCCTGTGAGCGGCCGTGTCCCTGTGCCTGGGTCCCAGGCCTTGCTTCCTCGCTCGCCCAAGTGAGGTCGCTGACTCAGCCTCAGGTTAGGGGAGAACTCAGCAAAAGGAGCCTCCAGACAGGAGGGGCCACCCCAGGGGGGGTTGAGGCCCCACACCGGAAATGCTGGGACACGGCAGGGCAGCCCTGGAGTATTAAGTTCACTTCCGAGACCAAGATTCTGTGAGGCCTTAAAGGTAAAGTCTAGGGCCATCCTCTGTGCACATGTTGACGACCGTCCCTTCCCTTTCCAAAGACAACAACAAAACCAGAGTACATTTTTGTCCAGCTTTAATCTCCTTAGGTGGAGGAAGCAGTTCAGCAACACTGAAACTGTAAAGAAAAAACAGGATGTTTTTCACTCTTTCACGTTTTTCCCACGAATGTAGTATCCCTGTGTTCGTCACTGTCATCACTTGTGTCAGGATCTTGGTGGATTCAGTAACTGATCACGTGGGCAGCTTGCGATTGTTCTCTTTCCCGAGCTTTAAATTCCCGCCCACCGTCATGCCCTAAGTTTACCAGTAAAGAGGGAGCCTGTGAAACCCGAGCCTGCCACCCTCGACCTCCATGAACACTGAACCCCAGGCCAGGCCCGGGGTGCCCTCTCGACTCAGGACCCTGCTGTGCACCCCAGGCGGGACTCGTGGGCACCAAGGCCTGTCAGTAACAACCTCCTCTCCAACGTGTCCAGTGGTTGTCCCTTGCGGGCGTCTGGGAGGTTGGTAGCAACTGCCAGGTAGGTCCAGCTGTGATGCCAGTTAGGGGGGCGGGTGGTGTGGGGGGCACAGTAGGTCCAGGTGGGCTGCACTTCCCTCCGGCCAGGATCACGCCGTGGGTCCTCGTGACTCTCACTCTGCGTCACCTTCCCGTTCACACCTTTACTGACCCTCCTGTCTAACTTAGACCTCCAGCCTCCAGCTCTCCCCGGCCCCCTTAGTGCCTTTTTATAAGCACATTTAATGACTTTATATATGAATTGCTTACTGCCTCCCTATCTCTTCAAATTCTAAACGTAGGCTCTGAATGGTCAGAGACATGTCCCCCACCCTCCAGGGCCATCTTCCCAGTTCTTCAAAACTCCTTGACGTGAAGTATGCGTTCAGTAAGTATCTGTAGAACAAATGAGTGAATAGTTGAGTTTATTTATATGCTGGTGTATTGATCACTAGCATGTTAAGATTTGACAGTTTCTGAGTTTTAAACAATCAAAAGTATATACTTTATTTTAGTCGAAGATTTTAGATGCACATTCTGAAAGTATCTAAATGCTTAGTGATTAAGTGACAAGAAAGATAAGTAACATGAAAGAGTCCTAAGCTTTGGAAATATGTTGTTTTAACATGGGAGATTTTCGTATTATTTAACATAGAATCTAAAAATCACAGAATCTGTGTAATCATTAAAATTAAGATAGGTTAGAGATCAAAAACTGGAAATTTTAGGTAACCAGATACTCTCCATCCTTTAAATACCATGGAAAGGTGAATTAGTAGCTCTTTTGCAAATGTCAGTCTAAACTCATTAGCCTCTGTGTTAGTCATTACTACAGGTAAAGTCATGAATTCTTAACCGGTGGTGCTTATCAGAATTACAAGAGCATCAATCACTTCGGATGATTTATAAAAATACAGGTAGACCGTAGCAGGTCTGGTCGGTCTCGGATGAACTGCTTGAAGCCAGAACGAGGATAAAAACAAGCCTCCGCAGTTGATTTTGATGTGTGTGGTGGTTTAAATGATGATTAGGAGTAAAAGTTCCAGTGCCTTTGAGAGATTGTGTTTTCTGAGATTTCCTGGTGAGCGTTCACAGGTCAGATACGTTGCAAGGTCGTGATATGCCTCAGTGGCCCCATCATGGCAGCTTCGGGAAAGTGGTTTTTATTTTTGAAAGCAAGAAAGTAGGTTATGTCCAGCTGGGGTGATTTACCTCTTTTCATTCTACCAGCGTTCCTCCAGAGAGTGAACAGGGGCTCGGGGACCTAGGTCAGCCTTTGCCGTCGGGGACACCCGGCGGTGGGGCGGAGGGGTGCGGGGAGCAAGGGGGGGCATGAGGAGCCAAAGTTCAGTCTTCTGGCTTCATCCTCGTGAGTCGTTTGTGTAGAAAATGAAATTTAAAATACAAAAGTGCATCTCCTGTTTTGCTTCTTTTTTCTACACTACCTAATGTAAAGTAAGATTTCATGTGACCAGTAACGGGTCCCAAGTAGGAAATGGGGACCAAGGAAATGAAAGATAAAAATGCCCAAAGCCCAGTTGTGTAGGAGGGCGTTTCTACTGCACCGTCTTCGAATCAGGCACAGTCCTTTCCAGCTCACTGAACTCTGGGACCAAAAGCACTTTCTTCCCTAAGAACCTGGACTGTGTAACTTCAGATTGGAGAATAAAAGTAAGAAAACGAGAGGAACCCAAGTCCCCAGGCTTCAGGGCAGTGATGCCCGTGAGGAAGGGAGAAGGGATATGGCTTTGGCCCGGATCCCCAGTCGATTGCTCTGCCTTTAGTCTTCTATGTTCTGGTTTTTAAAAAAACACGCCATAAAGACCTCATTGTCTACTGAGAGAGTCAAACAGATAAAGCCAATATGACTAAATGTTTCCCATTGGTGATTCCAAGTAATCATGTGCCCTTCCCTTGGGATCACTGATGGTAATATTCTTGGAACTTTTATGTCAGTTTGACAAGTTGCAAAATAAATGTTGGGGGAGAAAACGTCATAGTAAATTCTTGTTTCGTTGTGATAATCTTGAATAGACACCAGGAGGTTTTTGAAACTATCACATATGGTAGAAACATATACACTGTACCTTCGGGTAAAATGTACAGGAGTGTGCCTGGATTTTTAGATGTGTTGTATCCAAATAACTTCAATGCAGAATGGCTTTGTGTGAAATGAAAAGCTTAATACCAAAGACACACATGACAAGTTTGAACAAAATCAGTTCATGGAAATTTTAAAAAGCCTTCTGCTATTGGTAATAAATAAAAAAATCATGTCAAAAGCCATGAGTATAGATCAAAAGTTCCATCCCTTTCATTCAACTTGGTAGATAACAAGTATATAAGCAGACATTCATTATAATTTTTCAGGGAAGTATTTAAATATTGTCTGATTACTGTCATATATGTGTATGTGTGTGTGAGTGTATTCATACGATACTCTCAGCTTGCCCACGGCTCCCCGTGGCACTCGGCGAAGTGAGGCAGGCACTTGGCGTCGTCACAGGCAGTCCATCCTCCGATTCCTCTGCCCCCTGGGCTGGCTGACTCTTCTCTTCGACAGTCTTCTCTCGGCTTTATCCTAAAACTAGGTTCCATTCCCATCGCTGACTGTGCCCATTTTGTTTGCCTCTCTGCTCCTCCAATGACTTGTTCCAGAAAGAAAGCTGGGACACACACACCTTAGTCACTTCGGAGGAGGTGATGAGATGTCAGATGAGATCCATCCAGTTACACTCACTTGTTAGTCTGTTTAGTTATCTGGACCCATCACCTGTATATGATCTAATTGTGCTGAATCCGGGGTGTGGCCAGCGCTGTCCCCCGGGCCACACAGAAGCTGATAAAACCACTGTACAGGTTGGTAAGCCTCACAAAGCTCTCAGTATGTGCTGGAAGGTGAGACAAACCAGAAACGATGTGATACTTAACTGCTGCAGATACGAATAGTAGCTTGTGGAAATTTAAAAACAACACGTCACACTTTGGGCGATTACATTTTTTAAATTGTTTTAGGATAATCGTATGCTTGAGAAATAAATGTACTCCGTTTTACGAATGAGTCTAGCCTTGTGAAATAGTGTGTGTGACATGTGTCACGGGGGGAGGGGACAATCCCAGGAGGCTGGCACCCAGGTCTTCTCCTGTCAGCCCCGCAGACACCTGTGTGTGTGACAGTGGTCGGGTGGGCTCTGGGAGTGAGGACTGGCTCTGAAATGACTGTTGAAATTTAAAGGAGCGTTGGAAATGGGAAGACATCCCGATCAGGATCGCAGAACAGAATGAAGGCAGGTGATGAATCGGCGCGGCTGGTTCTAAGTGAGTTAGTGTTCACGGGGAGGCGTTTAGGAGGAGAGGAAGGGTGAATTATACTGTATTATACAAACAACAGTCAATACCACGGGTAATATGGTGTCATTTACTGCTTCTGAACACCTGAGATCAGTTGATTTATAATCTAGGTCTATATACGCAAAAGATGCTTAAAGATGCTAAAGGCAGCATGATTCATAACTTATACTTCTGAAAGTGCACTTACTGAAAACTCCCCAAAACATGGTGCACTCTTAC